CGTAACCGCTATCTAGACTTATGTGTTCAAGGAATGTTGGCCTGTGAATCGTAGAGAGACTTTTTACTTAATCTGCAATAGTTTCGGTCACGCGCTTTGTATTTACTCTTTAAAATACGCCGCGAGGTTATCATGTTTTTCGATAATTTCAAGCTCATATATTTGAGATCATACTCATTATTCAAAAGTGAACTAGAATTTCATAAACACGTCCTGTCACGTTGATTGGCTGTTTAGGCCCAATATAAAAAGCTAATTTTCATTTATTTATATTTTATATTCTTATTTTATATTTTATTTTTATTTAAATACTGAGGCTAGACACCCAATCAATGTGACAGGATGTGTTTATGGAATTCTAGTTCACTTTTGTATGATGTATCATCTCACGAGCTAAGCTCAGGGGCTCAAATGGATTACATCTAACTGTATTAGTGCCCCATGTTTGAGGCATTCTAATACGCATGATGCCTAATACAAAAACAAATATGTAAACAAATTTTATCAATCAACTCTCTCAATTTTGAAATCTGAAGGATTCATACGGCCACGTCTATTGGTAATTTTGGCACCAACTAACGTGCCAGTACGAGACACTCGACAAAATACCACAATGCAAAATACCTACCAGCGGAGTCACTTACTTAGTGTTGAAGCACTGCAAGTCATTTTGTTGACGAATGGTTGGACATGGCACCAAGTACAAGACACAGAGTCAAACTTAGGATGTTGCGTTTCGAGCAACTGTCTTCCTATTGGCTTGTTTTCGGTGACACGACCTTCCGCTCCTCCTGTTATAAACCAGTGTGACAAGTTTTGTACGCTACCTTAAACTGATGTCTCATCTCTATAGAACCTCTTTCACTAGTCTAGCGATCAGTGAACTGAGTTTGCGCATAAGATTTCACAGTATATCTTAGCAATTTTCATAAGCGATTGCACAGATTCATATTGTAAAGCATATTTCTATGACTAGAAAGAACCCAGGATGGTCTCCTGGGTCCACACGGGATGCTGTTTACAGTAGCTTGTGCAATTAGATCACATCGGTTGATAGTACGGACCGGGTGCGATAGGAGCAAGGAAATCAAAGCAACCTCAAGTGTCACTGTATAATATGCTAAGCAACGTGTGGGATGAGTGTTTTTGTTTCCATCAGTGGACATTTTTCAAGGCAGTATGAAGAAGAGAAAATCACCAAAATGTATCGATTATTGATTGGAAAACCCATGGCATCCATAGCAGTTCACAGTGAGAATACGTTCATAATGCACCCGTAGTATGAACGAAGTAAAACTCCCAGAGTTGGAGAGAAGCAGCTGGGACTACAGCTTATCTGATGGATGCTCCGTCAACCGGGATAAAAAGAAGGATACTTTTCATTACACAACTGCACTTGAACTTTATACACAACTCTGAACAAATCGGTCGAATGGAATGTGTAGTCATCAAGCTCTTTCTTTGCTTTCCGGAATGCCTGATAAGTTAATGTCCTCCATATTCCTAACGGGCATCTGTGTGATTTGAGAAAAACGTAGTCGGTTACTTTGTGAGTACAATCCTATCATTTAGAGAACTTTGGCGCTTGATTCCATGAAAAGTAATCATAAGCGTTAAGAAGACGTAAACAACCTGAGTAATCCAGCTTTGTACACCGTTCTGTAGGTCAACACGTGTGTGCATATTGGTCTGAGAATGTCGCTCTGCTCCAAACACCACCTAAATTGCGGATGCAAAGGAGATTACTTAGTTCATATGAAAAAACAGCTTATGCGACTTCCAGAATAGCGATGAACCTAGTGAAGTAAGCAGAATTTCAAGCTCTGAATTGTTGAATTTCAAGCTCTATACACTGCACACACAAAAAAAGTCACGCAGGTAGCATCAAATGACGTGCTTTTGGCGTTTCTATGCTTCTGCACATCCCACATTTGCGACAAAAATTTGATCCAATTCACTATCACGCCTCTGAACTTTTGGTTTATCATACATGGTTTAGGAGACGAGGCGGCTCAAGTGGTCAGAACGCGAATTTAAGGACCGGAAGGTCTGTGAGTCAAACCCGACCTCTTCCTCTCAACTTACCCTCTCTAGGCTTGGGCAACCTGGCAGTATCCTAGCCCTCGGGCTTTTTTTGGGTAACATGGCAGCTAGACACCGAAAAGTTGTTACAGCAGAACGATTATTTTATATATGCGATATATATAACTTTTTATATATATAAACGACATTTTCTACATGATTTAATCCGTTTCCTAAAATTCCGAAGTAGATTTCGTTCACTTAATACTTACGATCCCATTAGAATTCATTGCTTGGCTAGAATATATATATATATATATTTATATATACATATATATATATCATGCTCGATGAACCCCTAGGACTGTAGAGTTCAGAAAATTTGCTGTGTTCAGAAACCCTCCTGGGCACAAAACTCGAACAGGGTGGTGAAAACATTTGTTTGGAATTTCATCTTGGGAATTATCTCGGGGAAGGCGAAGAAAAGAAGTGAACTGCCGTCAGTTTCAGTTGTTAGAGGATATGTTTGGTGAATAAATACTCTCTGATTGTGTCATGATAACCCTACCGCCTAAACAAATAGTCCCTAAGAATTGCTTTTGAACCAAAAGCTGCAAGACAACAAAGGTTTTTTTAACTAGGGTAGAACAGAGTTGCCTGAGATCGAAAAGCAAGTAAAAAGAATGGTCGTGCTGTTTATTGAAGTGAGTGAGCTGATGGGACGTAAGGTATCTACATCAAAATTGGAATGGCAAATGTAACTGGAAGTTAACAACATTTAGAATGCTACCATGAAAGACGATGCAGTGAGGGTCACCGAACTATTCATTAGGACTTAACTTTCCTTTTTGGAGCAAAATAATGAGAGAAAAACATTTGCTGCCTACCACAATGAGTGTCTGCCGTGTCGACCAGCATTTATACCGCTACTAGTGGTTCAGTATGTCCATAGTGTTTCAAAATAAAGTGATGCGGCAAGGTCTCACCCTTTGAAGATTATTCCGATACAATGAATAGATGAACAGATGAACACAGGGACACAGCATACTACTCCCCTCCAATAAGTAGGTGAATTACGGTTCTTGTTTTTCCTCTGTCGATTGATAATGAGTCTAAATCTCACAGGTGATTGGTGTTCATTTTAAATGGTCGTCCCAGGTATTGGCAAACCATAGGTTCGGAAATCGCACTTTCAGCCAATATGGTAGCGTGGAAGTCCGTTTGGTGTGCAAAAACGGATTCACGTTTAAACCAATATCGATTGCAAAATAATTTAGAACGAATTAATCCTAGTTGAGCGTATCCACTCTCCTGGTTTATTTATCCAGCTGGGAGACAAGGAAGAAGTCAGGGTTAAAACAGATTTCAATGGAGATTTCGTTTCTTTGGTGAAGCTAATCTATGCTGAAAATCTGGGAAGCACTGGACAGCTGCTTCATCCCTACTGGGAACCACACTACATCAGTAATGTGCATCTCACTATATATATTTATATCCTTAATGAAGCGAATTTGTGTATTGAATTACTAGGGCTTATAATAGCTGTGCTTTATTACCTTGTAATGTTTACCGGCTCCAAAAACACGTGAGGCGTAAACCTAACAGACATTGCTGTTAGCAATGGAGAATAGTAGCATGATCTCCGTCACCATGATTATAAACTCATGCTGTCTTGCATTCTATTGTCTTAAAAATGAGACAGCGTAGTCAAATTCTATTAGAAAAATTCGATTTTACCAGTAAACAACAATCAAATTACTTGGCGCGAAGTTTTCATCTCCTTCTTCCTGGCCAAATTTTCTGCTGGTTGTGCACTTGATGTTCTGGTAACACTTTTTTCTCGGTTGTGTGGTACACTTTCTGATTTCTGGTCTTTTTGTTGCACTATAAGTGTGTATCGAAAGTGAACATGGGATATTAGAAGAATGGGCAAAAATCGTGCGGTGAGGTTTTGGTTTGCCAACAGTGAATCACCTTGAAGTATGGTTTTAACAAGATAGGTTGTCTTTGCCTTAATTTCCTGTCACGGCTAAATATCGTTCAACCTGAAGACAGTTAGGAGTCGAATTGGAGACAAATAACGAGGAATAGCATATCAGGTAGACTGAGAACCAAGTAGCAGTGGAATGAAATTGCTATTCAGCAAGATATACCTCAGAAATCACGCACCTACCTATTCTATCAGTCACACACTTCGTCTGTTGTAGTTCACTTGAGATTCTATTTTGGTTCTACTCTGTTATTTTCATGACTATGTCGGAACTCGAAATCTGCAAAATTGTGTAGAATTAAAAGTCCAGTTGTGTTGAAACGATTAAACATACGGAAAAGGCGTGTGTATAGAGCTTGATAGCTGAAATCTCGAGTGATCCATCCGAGAAGAGGAATGTTAGCTGCTGCCTCTGTAAGTTCCAGCTGATCCGTCGTCGAAGGATTGTCTCGTGAAAGAGATGAATGCAAAAACCCAGACGACAAGTGTCTTGTGAAATAGCTGAATGCAAAAACCCAGACGACAAGTGTCTTTTCACTCTCTCTTTCATACTGCGAATCAGAAGAGCTTCGAGTGGCAACTCCAGTAACCAAAAATCCGCCATAAGAACGACCCCATTTTGTGGTAAGCTTGACCGATCGATGGAGTGGCTGGGTTGAATGGGGGAAACCATCTTGCCTTTGTTACTTGTTTTCGAAGGTGATTTGGATTTCTCCCTCCTGACCTTGCTGCTACTCTTTCGTTCTTTTACTTTATCTTCTTTTTCCGCCGTAGGAACCTCTTTTGACCACAATACGGAAATGTAATTCAATAACCGCTGGAGGCATGCTGAATTTTGGAGCCCATCGTATGATTCCTGGAATTCAAGGGCAACAATATTCAAAGTACTGAGCCCAATTATGCGTTTCGAAGTGTATGAAAACAAATGGTACCAACCCTGAAGAAAGAGTATATTTCTTGGGCACCATAGTAAAGTAATTTCAGTGATGCAACAACCAGATTTCCACACAAACTACTGATGAACATATGAACATCCAAGAGTTTTTAAACGGAATTAGAGAAGAAGACTTGGGAGAAATTGTCATGTTGTAATTAAGCTGTTTGTACTTCATGGTTGAAAGAAATCAAAACAATTGGAGGCTTACTGCTGTCTTTCAGTTTTTAAAACAAGATTTGTGGGGAATCGTGTTGTCCTGTAACTCAGTAGATCAGTTTTCTATATTCTGCCAAGAAGTCAAAATAAGATCGCCCATAAAACCAGTATTCCAAAGTGGCGATGAGGTACATACCCTGTTGTCCAGGAATGCTCCTTGTGGCGCGTCGTCCCAAGCAGTAGAATATTTCCACGACCACACAGTGCGCATAATTTCTGGTCGACTTGTCGGAATCTTGAAATGGATGTATTCCGGTTCTAAGGAGTAAAAAAAGAAGCAGCAGGAACGATAGGAAGATGACAAAGTGTAATTTGCAATCGGGTTGTAAGCTGACCGGACAAAAACTTATCTAGGAACGCAGGAGATAAGATCACTACTTGCTGAATGGTGTCAGCAACAGGACAGATTTGTATTTGAACTCAAATCTTCACATGGAATTTCATAAATTACACAACACTTATCTGCTTTCATCACTTCGTATGGATTAGCTGGTTATTTTTTGAGAAGCTGAGAATGTTTTTGGTATGGGCAAATGAGCTTGCGTTCGGGATTTCACTACACTTGGATGACAATCTGACTAATGTCCGTGACCCTTAATATGTCTCGTGCACAGTCATTATTATCGTTGATAGTTCAATTTGTTTCCGCTTGGTGACACATTTTGGAGAGATCTCACCTTTGTTTGGCGATTTTCTTGTATCATCCGCTCGACTCACACGAGTACTCCTCCCAAGCTGCTTGGGGAAGCTGACGTACAAGACACTGCAGTCGCTGGAATGCTCCATTAAGAACAACTGCCATCCAGAGGCCATTTGTGAATCCATGCCTGGAACAGACAGTAGAGCTTCAGACAAATTCTTCAGGGGGTCGAGGAGGATGGATGCATTCACCACTGTTCGGGCCCAAGTCTGAAATGGAATGATTAGTGCGAGAAGAAGATTCACCAACTAAATGAGTGCGCGGATATGTTTCTGTCTTCAGTAGCAACGGTAAATCGGCCTAAAAAATTAACTTCTGAAGTTTTGAAGAAGATAGCCTAGCGATGAACTTGAATGCCTACCGTAAATTTTAAGATTACACTGCGGGCTAGCGGAACACAAACCCCAGATTTTGCCGTGTGAACGTATAATTTCAAGTAAACTAAAGGAGAAATAAAAAATAAAAAAATAAAATAAAAATATTTGAAGGTGTAATCTTGTCAAATCACGTATCCCTAGCTGGAGGTTCACATCTCCACAACAGCTTAATTCATAGCTATTCTGAGTGTGGTGCAAGATCTCGCGACGATACAAATTTAAAACACTTCGTATGAGCTATCTGTTCACTGAAACAAACACAAGTTCATCGCTTACAATGAAAACGCCCACCCATGCTATACAGGGTTTATTCAAAACATTGATACCTGTCTGTGCCATAAAGCTATATTGTCATCTTGGCTCACTTGAGGAAAGACCATATTGGTGTGCCATCAGAATGCCAGCCTATTATGAACAACGGGTCGCACAACCCTACGACCGGTTAAGACAGCTCCGATGCCCGTTGAATTGTTCTCCCCTGACTAGTGAAACCCCTTTAACGCTTGAACCCACTAACACAAAGTGCGCTTGGTCAGAAGCACTCTGAGGATCATCGTTGGTAGGTTTCGATGGTCTAGATGCTGTGTTGTTATAGTTGAATGGGAACTGGAGAAGGCGAAGGTGAATTTATCGCATAATGATAAAAGTCAATTGTTTTGCCAAGTTATCACTGAGCTTACCCAAATACTATGTCAAAGTAGTACGAAGAAATATCCTGTGCACGAATGAATGAGCTTCGATTGAACTATCATCTACTGGTTCAGAGGACATACCAAATAAGGATAACAGAAGGCTCGCAGGCCTGATCAGGTTTTGCTCGTTATTTCTGAGCGTTATAAAACCAAGCTTACGTAAGCATCAAAGGAGTTGGTGGTTCATTTTCACAAATAACCGAACTAAGAGAAAAGCAAGGTGTTTTTAGGACCAAGTCGTGGGTATTTTTGATTTGATTTCATTAGCTAATCCGTTGGGATCGTTTGGGAAGAAGAATGAAATAGGCAGATGAATTTTCGCTACAAGAACTCATCATCTGTAAAGTAAATTCCTTCTGGAGTTGAAGTTACGGAAGTTATTTTCGAGAAAAAGAGCAGTTGAGTATGTTGGTAATTGATCAGGTGGCTGTTGATCTGTTCGCCGAGCTTGGCAATTGATTTGCAAACGTTTCGTCACCATTCGAGGAGACATCTTCAGTG